TACCCTGCAAGGCTGGGCTGGGCTGTGTAGAAATTTATTATATATAATTATATTTTTAAAATTTTTTGTTTTTAATTTCAAATAAAAATAATAATTTTTTAAATAAATATATTAAAATAATAATAATAGTTTCTCTCAATTTATGCTACCCTGCAAGGCTGGGCTGGGCTGTGTAGAAATTTTTTTTCCCTAATTTTTTTTTTCTGAGAAATTTTCTCACTTTGCGAAACGCCGCGGGGACCTCAATATCCAAGAAAAAAAATTATAAAAAAGAAATAAAAGTTTAGTTGGTGTTAAATATATATAAAAAAAGGAAGTCGGCGTTAATTAAAAAATTGCAAAGCACTTAGTGATTTTTTTTCAGAAAGCTGGGTTTGGATGTGATCAATATGATGATGCTGGTGAGTTTGAGTTAGGCTGTTGAAAAAGAGTACAGCTAAAAAACATGATTAATGCTTTGGAATTTGCTGAATTTCCTTCATCTTTGCTTGACCTTTGTCTTTGTTGGGTCTTACGTGTGTCTTGCAAATGTCAAACACCATCATCCCCAATTTTTCTTTTCCTTCTTTGATGATTTGTGATTTAAAAAATTTTGAACTCGAAGACTCCTTTTTAATTAAGTCCCACATGAAAGATTGATTTCAAGTGTGTGCACCATACATACTTCGAATCTAGCAACAATATCGTAACTTACATTTTTGAATGCTTTTATTTCATCCCATCATTAAATAAGAAGAAAGATTGGTTTTCCACAAAATGGAAAGTTTGAAAGGTGAGTCCCATCACGCATTTTCTTGATTCTTGCCACAACAATTTACATTCATGGACTTTTTACCTTATCCCATCATTAAGTATGAAGAAAGCAAGCACTCGGGCATTTGGATTTAGTGACGTTAAATCACATTTAAATGTATCTCTTTTTTTCAAACAATGGTTTAAATCCAACCTCTTGAAAAATTGTTAAAAAAAAAAAGTATGAAAAAAGCAGGATTTTTCTTGAAAGCAAGATTATTCTGATATGTAATTTTAAGTGTGTGAAACAAATCTTACCATATTTTTATTTTTGAATGTTTTTACTTCATTCAATCACTAAGTAAAAAGAAAATAGAAATTTACTCAACATGTAATTTAAAAACGTGTGAAACAAATCTTATCACACTTTTATTTTTGAATGTTTTTATTTCATCCTAACATTAAAAATAAAGAAAGATTAATTTTTCACAAGAAATTTTTATTTAAACAGAGAAAACTCCCAATATCAAAATTTTATAATTTATCTAATAATTTAAATAAAGTAATCTAAACAATACTACACTTATTTTTTTTTCCATAACATAAAAAGTTTGTGAGATGAGTCCCATCACACATACTAATAATTCTAGCCACAACCATTTGCATTTTTGAAAGCTTTTGTTTTATTCCATCATTAAATAAGAAGAAAGTAAGATTTTTTTATATAAAATTTATAGTATGTGAGGCAAATCTTTACATACTTTTATTTTTAAATAAGATAAACACATCAAAGTTTTTAACTTAACTAATCACATGAGTCTATCACCCATACTATGATTCTAGCTACAAAAACTTACCTTTTTGAACGTTTTTATTTGTTCCATCGTCCTATCATTAAGTAAGAAGAAAATAAGATTTTCTTTGGTGTGGAAAGTTTATGTGAACTCACAATAATCATGTCTTGCACTGGCTTGTTAATTAAGTGTTGGTAAATTAACAGAATGGCAGCACCATATGTTTGATGAAATTCCAAGACTAGAAAAATGATTGTGTTGGCTGCAAGGCAGTATTAAAACTTGTTCTTTATTGTATGAGAGAAATGCTCCCCTAAAGCATGAACAAATAATTAAGTGTTAATAAATAAATAACATGAAAGCATCCCAGGAAACATTCAAAAACGAAATCATTGATCCAATTAAGTAGACAGACTTTATCTAATGTTCTGACTTCCATGATATGAAATATCTTAACCAAGATTTACTGACATCCAATCCAAGAATACTTTTGTCTACAAATAGCTAATAATAGTTTTATTTATGTTTAATAATAATAAAGAAAACCAACAATTAATAAACAAAAAATGGCATGAT